AAGGCGCGGTCTTTCATGGCATCAGGTGAGTTTGATTGTGAGGAATAAATTATATATAACTAAATTCTGTTGTCTTGTTATCTAGCAATTGATATTCTTTTAAGTATTAATCATGTAATTCATCTCTCTCTTGTAGAGAAATTTTGATTATCTATATATATAAAGGAGAAAAGCGACTCACTGACTGACTGACTGACTGACTAATCACGATATCTCTGGAACTATTCAACCTACATACTTGAAATTTGGTAGACATGTTCCTTTCATAGAGTAGACATCAGCTAAGAACGGATTTCCCGAAATACGGAACGCAAGGGGCGTTACGGGGGTTATTGGGCGTTATAAATAATTGTTTCCATGTTTAAACTACTCAATGTACAATATTGAAATTGGGTTAGCAGATTCCTTTCATACAGTAGAGATCCGCTACAAAATGAGTTTGGTGAAAATCGTCCCCCAAGTGGCGTTGCAGGGGCTTAGGGGGCGTTATAGATAATTATGTTCATTTTTCAACTATTTGACGCACTGTCTTTAAATTTGATAAATAGATTCCTTTCGTAGAATAATGATCAGTTACAAAACGGGTTTTGTGAAAACAGACTTCTAAGTGGCGTTGCGGGGGATTAAGGGGCGTAATAGATAAATATATCCGTTTTTAAACTACTTCACCTACCTGCTTGAAAATTGGTAGGTAAGTTTCTTTCATGGAGTAAATATCCACTACAAAATGGGTTTTTAAAAAATTGACCCCCAAGTGGTGTTGCGGGGGTGGGAGTCTAAGGGGCGTTATAAATTCCGATTTTTTAACTATTAGACGTACAGTCTTGAAACTTAGTAAGCAGATTCCTCTCATAGGGTAGAGATACGCTACAAAATGGGTTTCGTGAAAATTACCCCCAAGTGGCGTTGCGAGACTTAAGGGGCGTTATAGATAATTATTTCCATTTTTAAACTATTAGACGCACAGTCTTTATATTTGATAAATAGATTTCTTTCATAGAGTAGAGATCAGCTATAAGAAGGTTTTGGGAAAACAGACCTCTAAGTGGCGTTGCGGGGGATTAAGTGGCGTAATATATAAATATTTTCGTTTTTAAACTACTTGACCTACCTGCTTGAAAATTGTTAGGAATGTTTCTTTCATGGAGTACATATCCGTTACAAAACGGGTTTGGGGAAAATTGACCCCCAAGGGGTGTTGCGGGGGGTTAAGGGCAGATATAAGTAATTATTTCTATTTTTAAACTATTAGACGCACAGTCTTGAAATTTGGTGAGCAGATTCCTCTCATAGGATAGAGATACACTACAAAATGTGTTTTGTGAAAATAGACCCCTTGGTGGCTTTACGGGGGTTCAAGGGGCGTTATTGATAATTTTTTTGCATTTTTAATTTATTGGACGCACAAATTTTGCTAAGCAGATTCCTTTCATAGAGTGCAATCCCCTACAAAATGGGTTTTGTGAAAACAGACACCGAAGTGGCGTTGCGGGGTCTCAAGTGGCGTTATGGATAATTATCCCCATTTTTAAACTATTAGACGCACAGTCTTGAAATTTGATAAGTAGATTCCTTTCGTAGAGAACCGCTACAAAATGGGTTTTGCGAATATCAACTACCAAGTTTAATTTCGGGAGATTAAGAGGCGTAATCGATAAATATTTCCATTTTTAAACAATTTGATCATCCTGCTTGAAAATTGGTAGGCATGTTCCTTTCATGGAATATAATTCCTCTAACAAAGAGTAAAACGAAAATTGACCCCTAAGGATGGTTGCGAGGGGTCAAGAGGAGTTACAGAAAAATATTCCTGTTTTTAATTGTTAGACCCATATACTTGAAATTTTTTAAGCATGTTTCTTTTGTTGAATAGGGATGCACTAAGAATGTATTTTAAGTAAATCACAAGTTCTGCGGAGGGGTGCAGGGGTTACTGGGACGTATTGACACAAAAAAAATCCTTTTTTCGAGCTACAAGGACTATAATAATGAAATTTGGTTTGCATTTTTCTTTTGTTGAATTGAAATCCGCTAAGAGAGATTATTTTGGAAAATGGCTCTCAACACACACACGGGATTACGGGGATATTGAAAGTAAAACTTTTTTTTTCTGTTTGATTTAGACTTGAAATTTGGCTTGCATGTTCAATTTACGGAGTAGAGATCCACCGAAAATTGGTTTTGCGGGAATCCACTTGGTTTTTGGGTTACGAAAGAGCAAACATCATTCTATACTTCAATTTTAGAGATTTTTAGAAAATACAAATTAGATGAGTTCTGCCCTTTTTATTTATCAAGAGGTGACAGTTACAGGTCTAAGTATATTTTTCAATACAATCGAATTCTTAATGCTAGGACTTAGATATCAATAATTTATACATATATATAAGCAGTAAAAATAAATAAAACATCATGAAATACCCAGCGAAGCGGGCGGGTAACAGCTAGTATATATATATATATAGTTGTAAAGAACACATGGTTAAAAATTTCTTTTTTATAGTATATTGCCAAAATTCTTGCATAATTAACATCAGCTATTTTCTTTTATATGCCGAATTAAAATCATTCGTAATTGTGTAAGTTCTGTGTTAAATATAGAATGTGTCTGTAGGAATAAAAAAGCTATAAAAAAAAAAGGAAAGGGAATCACTGAATTTTCTTTTCTTTCTTTTTAGCGCGTTTTTCACGTAGTGTAAAAAAAGCGCTATTAGGACGCAAATTTCGTCTTTGTCTTCGTTCCATATTTTGTCGTACCTTTTTCTCAGCCAATAATTAACCGATTGACCTAGGGCTTTCGGTATTTGGTCGCATTTGTGCCCTAGATGAGCCGAATCATATTTAAATTTAATAATTAAAATTTTAAAAAAAATTTTATTTAAAAAAAAATTTTATTTAAAAAAAAATTTAAGTATAGTACTACTTTTTGTTAGTAAAAAGTTCATTATTTGAATTATTGTAAAACACAACATGTGAAAAACGCGCTAGAATTACTTGGCCATGCCAATGATTGATACCTTGTTTTTTGTATCTACAGATTTTATTTTTATATGGTTTGGAAATTAGGCAATTTTAATGTATTAAATGTTTTACTTCCTGGAAAATAAATGACCTTGAAAAGCTTATGACACCTAGTGGAAAGCAAGAACTTACAATTTACTCAGTGCTTCTCAAAGTTACAATATTTGCGATCCAATATTCAATCACAATTTTCATCGCGCCCCCCTCCATACAATAACAATGTATTGAATTCAATAATACTATACTTTGACGCTAAAGCTGCAATGCGACTTTAACATCTTAAGTGCCACCGGCGTAGATAAACGTCTCGCTAAGCCAAAGCGTTAATTGCTACGGACGTATATATACGTCTTTTCGAAGTACGATCTTTTCTGTGCACTGCTATCCATAAAATTATTCCGAAGGCTTGGGAATGCATTAAAAGGACCTTGGCAGTGTTTACGAAGGATTTACTTATTTCAGAGGATTTGCTTATTTATTCCTTTTCACCCCCCCCCCTTTCCCATACGCATTACATACGCATATCTACATGGAAAGTAGGTGGTATTGGGGAGTGAATCGTGTAACTTTCAATAGACAGTTAAGGGATTAATTATAAACCGTACAAATTATGAAGATAAGTGATAAGTGTTAATTTTTGTATATAATCTTGTATATGACAAGCCCATGGGGTCACTGGTAATTAATAATGTTGTTCTTAACTTAGTTTTGTTAAATTAACTATAAAATACATTGCGCAGTACTGATACATTTATAAGTATATTATATTAGTGTAAATGAGTATTTTGTTTAATTATGAAATGTATTTTGTTTACTTTCAGTAAATTAATATTTTTTAAAGATTTTTTTATTTTCGACTTTTCAATATGCTCGCGCCCTCTTGTAGAGTTATCACGCTCCCCTAAGGGGAAAAATATTCCTCACATAAAAAAGAATTTGATAAAGCACATCAGTGCAATTATTACAAAATTAGATACAACATTTTATGATGCGAACCTCAGTTACATTCCGAAATCCATTACATAATATTTTTGAAAATATACGAAAAAATTAGCACAATAAAAAAACTCACTAAATTCCATGAAGGAGTGTTAGAATTTCTTTTAAAAAAAAGAGAATGAAATATTTTTTATGAAACTTATTACATGAAGAATTAGCACAAGACTGCTCGACACACGGAAAGTAAATTATCAAAACCATTACATAACAAACCACCATTATAGAAACAAACAAAAAAAGGTTAGTCAAAATTAGATCGGCCGAAAAATGACTGAACACACGCCAAATCCCAATTATGCTTAAGGCCATCCAGACAGACGTCTTAAAAATGCTGCTTCAAAATGAATGGAACTATAGGGAATAAGCATATCGAGTAAATTCTTACACGTGATTTAATGCATTAAATCCAGCCGCAACATAGTAATGCTTTTCTCAAATTACGGACAGATATGTAAAAATCGGATAGTATCCGCAGGTTTAAAAAATAAATAATTCTACTGCTCTACTTATCCAAGAACCTACTTATAGCTTACAAACATGTACTAAACTCATAAAGTTTGTTTCGGGAATTTTATTTTAGTTAATGCATCAAAAATGACACGGATTTTCACTTAATATTAATTAATAAACATAATTAAAACCTTGAACACTAGAAATGTAATTCACAATATTGATGTAAACCACATACAAAACAATATAAAAAAAATTTTAAGTCAATTTCTATTTAGGTCAACAAGAAAAATTTTTTATTTTAGTTACTTTTTGTTAAATAATTACAATTAATATAAATATCTATATACATATGATAGAATGACAATATTAAGTGGCAAAATAGAAAACGATTATTCTTGCAATTTTCCATTTTCCTTTCTATATAGGGTGTTGGGCTATTATTTTTGTTTGTTACTATTTATTCATTAATTAGATTTAATTATTTCAATCAAATAGTATAGTAAAAAGAAATCACATCCTCAAAAAGTAGGCCATCCCAGGGGGATTCGAACCCCCAACTTTTGTATTAGAAGTCCAACGCGCTATCCATTGCGCTACAGTGCCACAACGAGCGATTTTCCTTTTTACACATGGCGTTGTACACTATTATTTTGTTTATTACTATTTATTCATTAATTAATGAATTAATATTTGAAAAAACTGTTTTAATATCAAGTGTCATCCACTACAAGTTTAAAAAAATCTATTTGAACTCGAGAGGATGAATAAAAAGTGTTTTATTAAAGACTGAGAATTTGAACAAGATATATTTCTTTTAATAAATATATAGAGAGAGAGAAAGAGAGAAACAATAGTAGGAATTGTATGGAAAAAATACAATTTAAAGATTATCATATTGCATATTTGAAAATGAAATATTCAATTAATACTCAATTTTCCGTTCCCGTGCTTACATACTGAAGACCCGGCGTGTAGAGTGCAGACGCAAGTTAAATTTGTCGAAAATGAAAGTTCTCACAATGGTGTGGTGTAAAGGTTTGTAGAGTAGGGTGCCAGTTCACGCGTCATCCTTGTTGTGATGCTTATCACCAACAGCTGTTCTATATTTTCAAAACGGGACGCAAATAAGCAATCAACCAAAGGGTAAAGTGAAATATTAATTAAACATCACATTGAATGATGACGTCGCATTCGGAAACAATACGAGGGCTATTGGTGATGAACCACGGTCAAATGACGAGGACGACACCTGAACTGTCACCCCTAACTTCTAACACGTCATCGTGAGGATTTTGAGCCACAACATATGTTAACGTCCATCAACCCATCTATACGGCGAGTCCAGTGGCACTGAAGCTCGAAATCCCCCCCCCCTCCACACACGAGTCCGCGACTTTAACCAATGGCCGACCATAACCTCCACATCTAAATGAAAATGAACATCTAAATAAAACCTAAAAAGGTTGTCTATAGGCTGCAAAACCAAAACTTGATGATAGAAAGAATTTTTATCTGAAAAAAACTCTGAATTTGCCCCTCATTCTACATCGTAAGTAAAAGAGTAATTATGAAGAAAAATACTTTTCTTTAAGAAGATAAAAAATATTGATTGTCCTTTTTGGAGACAATAAGAAATTGAGAACTTAATCATTTAAACAATAACAAAAAGAAAAAGTTTTATAATTGGAACTGGGAAACGATTTTTGGCTTAAATATTATTCTTTTGTCAAGGGGGTGTTCGACCTGAATTCTCGAAAAACACGCTTTTAATTCAGATTGGACATAATATAAGTCCCAAATTGCTTTTAATTTTTATACCGCTTGTTTTTTTAAAGCTTATAATCCAAAAGTGTAACTAATATCAGGAAATTATACAATAGTATAATATTCCTCCAACTTTTTTTTCCCTTTGTTAAAATAGAAACTATATCACTTAACTTTAAAAAAAATACCCAAGATAGGGAGAAAAAAAGTTTTTGAAATGATTAATTCTAACGGAAATATGTTTTTGAGGAAATACACAAAGTAAAAATTTACAGAGTTTTACAGTTCACAATAGAAGTAGTTCACACTGTGCTAATAATGTAATTAATAGTACTAAAGAGGACAAGAAACAAAGTGACAAACGGAACCATTGAACATGATTTATTTCTTCCTGAACTCATAACGAAAAGGTCCATTCTGAAGTAGGATTTTATAACTTTTTAACGTAAAAAAGAAGAGAAACTAATTAGCTTTTACAAGAAGAGAGAAGTAATTTTCATTAATCTCTTCTCTTTTCAGTGTTGGAGAAAAGCAGATTTGAATGTGCCGAGAGATTGCCGTGTGAGTAATTATTAGTGTTAGTATGATGCTTTGTTCTACAAATATTAGAGTATAGTATGTTTTTTTTTGTTTCATTAAACCAAAAAGGGTGTACTTTCACCCAGAAATAGTTGATAAAAAATTTTAGCTAAAAGTATTTTTTTTCTAAGAAAATTACTTAAAAAAAATAGTTTTGGAAATAGTATACATTCATGTAGAGTAAAATTTATATTAAAAAAATTTAAAGTGTAAGAGAGAGAATTCTCTTATAAAATATGCTATTCTTACTTTTTAGATAATTACTGAAAACAATTTTAAATGAGTAAAGCCAATTAAAAACATTAATTTTCTTCATCTTGTATAAAAATAATTATATATATTTTTAATTATAAGCAAAGTGACGACTAGCAAACACTTTCTTTATAAGCAAAAATAACGTAATTTTAAAATAGAAGTATAAAAAAATCAAATTGCAAAAATATATTGTTATAATTAAATTTTTAAAAAATAAGTTTATTTTGTCTAAAATATTAGTATAAAAATGTTCTTGCAAGTTATATTGAAAGGTATAATATTACCGGGAAATATCGTATATTTATAAAAAACAAATTATTATAACTGAAAATCTAAAGACAAAATCATGAGTTTCAGAATTGTCTAAGTTTTTACTTATTAGAATGCATTATAATATCTAATTTACGCTTAAAAATACCCTCGATACTTGTCTGAGATTCAAAAATGCCAAATTAATTTCGAATTACTTTCGTACAAAACTAGAGCGATGTTAATTCGCAACAAAGTGTAAAAATTGATATTAACTCTGTTAAAGTTACCTAAAGTTAATATTTCTCAATATAATAGTTTAAGCAAACCTATTTTTTTTTTTTAAAAACTATTTTTAATGGTTAAATTTTAAAAATTCACTATACCCAAATGATTATCAAACTCGATTCCATAAAAGAATGTAAGATTATAGAAAACCAGCAATATTTTAAAAACCATTCATTAATTTAAAGAAACAATTTATCCAAATTCAGAAAAGTTTTCGAGATTTTTAGAGAACAAAAACACGGTACACATATTATCAATTCTTGCTTCGACACATGTATTCAAATTTTTATACTATTACCAATGCAAATGTATTCACGAATGTATATACATCAAATAACTTAAGTCAATCAAGTTTCATACCTTATCGACTTCACTGACCGTCCAGTTCCTAACCTGGGCAAGCAGAACGTGCGACAAAGTCTTCGCATGCAGTAACCCATACGCTCCTCGTTGCCAAATCGCACGACAAATGTCCAGAGCTTCAAGATGGACACTCGAACGACACCAACACCAGCACTGCTTCGGAACGGCAGTGACACAACAATATGCTCAACAACAGGACACCCCAAGAGACATCACCCAATTCCCTCGGCACAAAAATCTCACTGGGAACTTGTCGATGTCCAACAAGCAGACAGAACTGTCTTGAAAAGTCTGTCAAAGCTTGACTGATCCCGCCGATGAGAGACAGCGCTATACGCGGAAAAATGTGTTCTCAAGTAAAAGCAAACAAAATTACCAACGAAAACTCGAACAACCAAGACAAAAAGGAAAAACTTCGATCAAGTGGAAGATCCCTAAAAAGTAGGTGGTTCCATGCTGTATACTTGACATTAAGAGGCGTTATTCTTTTTTTTTTCTCTCTTTCTCTCGGTTGTTGTTTTTATTTTTGTCGGATGCCTTCCATCACTCTGGAACCGCCCATGCGGAACGGATCTCTGGGAGGATGTATTTTGGGATCGGAGAATATAATTCGAAGACAATTTTTTCCGTTCCTTTTCGTTTCCATTGACCGATTATTGAAGAATACAAAAGCCTCTGGCCATATTCAGATCACAACGGGATTTAATACTTGGCGATTACATGCTTTGACGACTTCGGCGATATGATCTTTTAAAGGTAGATCGTAGATATGGAAAAAGGGGTAGGCGTCGCTTTCATTTTCTAAATTACCTGAGATTTAGAATGAAACTGATCGTAAAATGATTTTAATGCACTTTCGATTGGCCATTAGTATCAAATTTATGAGTACAATCCCTGTAAATATATAGTTTTAACAATCAGTCAATGCATCTGCAAAGATGTCCTCTATAAAGTGTTTTAAATGCAAATATAGAATGGTCTTTTACCGAAGTAATTAATTCGCAATGAATAATTGGATCGTATTTTCGATTCTATTTGTTGCTTCTGACAATTCTGAGTAAATAAAAAAAATCCTTATTAAATGGATTAAAATGTAAATAATAACTGTACTTATTTTTCAATGTTTCTTTATAACTAAAAATATTATTTTGTTGTTTATATTTTAAAATCATTTTTGTTAATCTGAAAACAGTTTTTTGTAACTTTTGGCTTTACCAGATTGGCAACAGTCCTAATGTTGAGAATTCTTTCTTGCAACATTTTTAATTGAAGCGGCTCTGTTAGGCTTAGTTCATAAAAAGGGATTTGATTATTATAATGCAATTTTACTATTTTTAAACCATCGTTATTTAACTATTTTTAAACCATCGTTATTTAACTATTTTTAAACCATCGTTATTTAACTATTTTTAAACCAAAGAGCCAACAGCCTATTACAAGTGTAGTAATTATTTTCTATGCTAATCGGATGAAATAATTTTTATTCCGTCTTGGCTTTATCTCATCTATTTCTGTTCATCGGTGTTTTATGTAGAAATTCCATCAATTTTAACAAAACAATTTTTTTTCAAAAATAAAAAATAAATCAAACTTGTGGACAAAACTAAAGTATAAAACAAACAAAAAGATTCGTGAATAAAAAATTACATGCACAAAAGAATTCATTTTTCGAACAATCGGAACATAATTGAAAGTTTATCGAATGAAATTACATAATGATCTACCTTTGATAAAAGGTTTAGCCTAATATTTATATCCACAATTCCTTTAGAGGAATCTAAAGATTTGTCAACTAAACTATGTATCAAATATTTTTATTCGTTGTACAAAATGTTATATTCACTATTAAACCACTTTATTCAATGAGCAGAATCTTTTAAATAATCTAAATATTTCCATTATCATAAATTTCTGTCACAGATTAAGGAATTTTGTATTCACTAAACAAAGTTGGAAGTTTAGAATCTTCAAATATGTGTTTATCATCCAAAGCAGGAAACGTTCAAAACTGCCAACTCAATGTTGAATATCTGTCAAAAATCTATTCTCTATCTGCCAATCGTTCTGAATCTATCAAGATTTTGTTTTTTGGTTATTTTACTTAA